CATTTGTGAACAAGAACAGAAAATGTTTTCAGTCAGATTGTAGCTCCAGAATTTGTTTCACTGCCTACTTCTTCTTATGGGTACAAGAAACACATGAGCAACAACCAAATTTCCTTCAAGACCGCAATCAATCTGGAGTCAGGCTCTGGAACTGAAAGCTGTTTTTGATTAGGTAAGTAAATTCAAGGTTCATTGTGAAAACAGTGAGAAGTTATTTAAATCCTTCTTTCTAAATGTGCCAGTGTCTTGAAGATACCTTTTTTCCACAGCAATATTTTGATGGCATGCCTGAATGATCAAGCTCTAGTGTCCTGTTCTGATTACTCCCACCATGACCCTGGGCGTAAGGGCAGGCTTGGCTTGGATTTGTTTTTTCCATGCTGACTTGGATGAACACAGCAGAGCAGTGTGTCATGCTTCTGGGCAGGTGGCTCTGACTGAACATGGACCCTCTGAAGTCTGCACAGGATATTTTATAGCCCATGACCAACCACACTTCCCTGGTCTAATCGTATCAAGAAGCCACCCTGGATCAAGGTGAGTCAGATTCTGTCACCATCACCAACTGAATCACAACAGAAGAGTTAATGTTAAAAGGGATCTTAAAAGACCACATCGTTACACAACCACTCCGCCAAAGGCATGGACACCTTCCACCAGACCAGGTTGCTCCAATCCAACCTTAGGTTGGATTGCCCATTCAACCTTACCTTGAACTACTTGGAAAAACCTGTTGCTCCAGTGCCTCCCCACACTTTGAGTAGTTTCTTCCTAATGTCTAATCCAAATCTCCCCTCTTTTAGTTTAAAGCTATTACCTCTTGTTCTGTTGCAACACTCCTTGATAAACCATCTCTCTCCATCTTCTCTGTAGGCCTTCTTTAGGTAATGGAAAGCTGCAATAAGATCTTCCTGGATCCTTCTCCAAGCTCAAAAACTCTGACTCTGTCAGCTTTTCTTCACAGGAGAGGTGTTCCAGACCTCTGAATATCCATGTGACCCCCATGTGGACTCACTCCAATATATCTTTATGTTCAGGGCCCCAGAGCTGGACACAGTACTCTAGGTGTGGTCTCATGAGAGCACTGGGGAAGACACCTCCTTCAGTCTGCTACCTATGTTTGCCCTGGCTTTCTGGGCTGCAAGTACACAACTGGCTCACGTTGAGTTCCTCATCCACTTGTACTCATACACATAGCTGACAACCCTCAGTATTTCTGAATTTCAGATTCACAGCTATCTTACTCAACAGGAATAGTCTCCAAATGATTACACAAATGACATACTTTGCAACAAGTAAAAAAGACTTCAGTTGTATTTCTCCTGTCTTCTGGACTTCCAGAAAGCTCCAGTTCTGCATTCATTTTTAGCATTCTACTCTTCATACTACAAGGTAATCAGTGATGACTCAGTACTTTAAGCCTGTGAAAGAAATTGAGTGCTCTCTGTCATTCTAGCTTGGTGAGGAGAGCAGCAGCATTACATCCAAACCGTCAGGTTGAAGCTCAGACTTAGAGCTCTCAAGTTCATACACCCCAATTGATCTCATTGCATATATGTTGAGCTCAGACTTGGCTTGAATCTGGAATTGCAAACTGTGGCAGAGACTTGCATCTTGCTAGATTGGATGAGCTTAAGCCAAATGAAATTGCCCACAAACTGGCAAAGATTAAGAAACTAAAGATGTAAAGATCCAACTCAAAATCATCTGAGAAACTCTGGCCTTTTAGGCATAGTTCCCAGTAACAAACTGTGCAGCCCAGAACACATGAGCATATAGATTTAAAGACTGCTGTTGAGTTCTTACTGTTCCTAGCTGGATAGCCTGTTTTCATAGGTGCAACCTGCCATAAATTAGAATGACGTCACTGACACTGTACTGAATATGTCATTAATTCAAGGTTAGATAAACACAAAGGAAGCTGACTGTAAAATACAGACAACAGAATCTTGATCCAAAAACAGTATTGCCATAGATCTTACTTCATATAATACCTTTTTAAAGTTTATCCACCAATTTCTTCTTCAATATTTGAAAATTTTCCCAGTTTGAAAAGTTTCCCAGTACAGCGATACCATGACTACAGACGCGTGAATATAAATGCATATGCACACATGCACATTTATACACGTGTATTCAAGAAAGCCAGAATAAAACCCTTTAGGCTTGATTTTTTTTTCCTGGCTTGCTGAAAAATCTTTCACCTTAAGAAACACTTATTTAAATTCTTTTATACTGTCTCTCCAGCCAGATAATTCTATAAGATGGGAGCAATGTGATTCATCAAGAGACAAGCTAGTCCACTTCTCTGACAAAACATAAGATTAGGGATGTTTCTCACATTTTCCATGGTTTTTTTTTTTTTGTTTACTTACTTGCACTTTAATGTTGCTAACAACATCAGCTGAACAAATTTCCTTCAGCCAATAATTCATGTCCTACTGTTTGAATTTTTCTTCCCTTATATCTAACCTAAATCTTTTGTTTGCCCATGCAATACTGTGACTTATCCTAAAGACACAGAATCATAGAATCACCAAGATTGGAAAAGATCAGCAAGATCATCCAGTCCAACCATTCCCCTGTTGCAACTATTTCCCACTAAACCATGTCCCTCACTACAACATCTAAATGTTTCTTGAACACTTCCTTGGACAATGACTCCACTACCTCCCTGGGCAGCCCACTCCACTGCCTGATCACTCTCTCAGAGAAGTAATATTTCCTAACATCCAAACTGAATCTCTCCCTGAAGCAACTTGAAGCCATTCCCTCTAGTCCTATCACTGGTTGCATGGAAGAAGAGGCCTACCCCCACTTCACCACAGCTTCCTTGCAGGTAGTTGCAGAGAGCAATGAGGTCACCCCTGAGTCTCCTCTTCTCTGAACAATCCCAGCTGCCTCAGCAGCTCCCCATAAGACTTGTGCTCCAGACCCCTCAGCAGCTTTGTTGCCCTTTTCTGAACATGCTGCAGGGCTTCAATATCTTTCTTGTAGTGAGGAGCCCAAAACTGAACACAGTACTTGAGGTGCAGTCTCACCAGGACTGAGTACAGAGGGATGATCACTTCCCTGCATCTGCTGGCTGCACAGTTTCTGATACAAGCCAAGATGCCATTGGCCTTTTTGGCCACCTTGGCACACTGCTGGCTCATGTTCAGCTGAGCATCAATCAATACCCCCAGGTACCTTTCCTCTACACAGTCTTCCAGCCTCTCTGCCCCAAGCCTGTAGTGTTGCCTGGTACTGTTGCGGCCAAAGTGGCAGGACCAGCACTTGGTCTTGGTGAACATCATCCCATTGGCCTCAGCCCAGCTCCAGCCCCCCCAGATCTCTCTGTGAGGCCTTCCTATCCCCAGGCAGACTGACATTTCCTGCCAACTTGGTGTCTTCTGCAAATGAATTGACATCTGAGCAGCCTCTCCTCCACACTAGATACTTAGGGATACTGTCTCGTAACACCCTCCTTCACAAAAACTTCTATGTAACATTATATAACTTCCAATCTTTTCTCACATTTTATAAAATGTTCTCATTGCTCTTTATTTCAGACACTCTTCAGCTGGTCTACATTTTATGAAATGAAGCAAAGCTAAATCCAGGTATAAAAATTCACAAATAACTAATAATTTTTTATCCTCTTAACAACATGGTTTGGCATATGTGTGTTATACACTGTTATTACAGTTATGTGGCTGCAAAATTAGTATTTTTAAATCAGGACTGAATTCTGGATAAATCCTACAGATAACTGAATATGGGATTTCCAGAAGCACTTTGAATTGTGGCACTTTAGAGCTGGATTAGATAAGAATGTCATGATGATACTATCTGACAAACTAAACAGATATACAAATGTAGGGCAACTTTTATCTTATTTAACCAGGCTAAGTCTTTAATTGTGTTTACCTGTTTTCTTACCTACTAAGTATATAATGTGCAATAACTAATTAGTCTAGTAATTTCACATCGATAGCTACTTACTCTTGTGAAGTGGAAATTCCATCTACTTAATTGGAAACTTCCATGAATATTGAATTTTGCAAATGTAAAAAAATATGAAATTGAAGTATATTCTAGAAATAATTTATCTGTAGTCTTATATGCCAACTATTTAACTCCTGAACTTTCAAAATAAGAAAAATCTTGATACTAAATACGTTTTCTCTATTGGAAAATCTGCCTGCTGCTTATTCAGTATTGGGTGCTGGAACAATCAGATGTATGCAGTATAGTCTGCTCTGAGCTTACAAAAAAAAGAAAAAAAAGCCTTCCAAAAACAAACCTGCTAATAAAAATATGCGTAGAATTTGTCTTTAGCAGAGGGAATGAAAGTAGGTTGGAGGTATGGAGATGCTTGAGCTCAGAGAAAAGAAACAGTAGGGTAGCCAGCAAAAATTAATTTGAATAATAACAAATAAGCCATGGATAAGAGAGGATCAGAATCTAAGAAAAGAATCATTAATTAATTGCATCCCCCTCCTGTTTGTTGCATGGTTTGCTGTGTATGGTGGGAGAGGGAAAGGAGAATACTATCTCTTTTTGTCAATCGCTCTACAATAATAGAAAAAGGCTTCATACACAAGAATGTTAATTCACCTTGGCTCCATGTTCACTGTTCCCAGATGAGAAACAATAATGATCATAGGGACCCAGCAGTGTTCCCTTAATAGTCCCTACGTTAGATAAGATTGCTTCCCACTTAACTAAACAAACTGATGCCTTAAAAGTATGACCAAAATTAAAGATGAATTTAAGAAAATTACTTATGGCACAAAAAGCACATTAATGCTGCCCACATCATTATTTATAGAGAAAGAAGGTTATTTTGATTGAGGTGATAAATTACCTTTCTACAGCAGAAGAAAAAAAAAACAGTTTACAGGTTCAAGCTGTAAAGTTATTAAACAAGGTCTGTCTGTACTAAGCAATGCACAGCATATTAGAAAAGTCAATTTCTTAAATTAAGTGGCAAATTAGCAAGTGGATGAAGGACTGACCTTGGATCGGGGTGGTGCTCGGATGTACCATTTACAGTCTACTGCTTCAGTTTCAGAAGCTTTTCCTTCCTTGACAATTTGTACAGATTCCACAATTCCTTCAGGTCCTCCCATTTCAAACTCACAAACTAAATAACAAAATATCAGAAAAATGAATCCTGAACAGCAAACAAAAATATTTTCTACAGCACAGCACAAAGGCCTCCAAAACTTAGGAAAAAACAACATACCAACCTGGCAATGGTTTCAAAACTCCAAGGTCCTTAAAATCTGGATCTTAAAAATTGAGAAAGAGAAAATTAGTTTTGTTCAATATCTTGGCTGTAATGTCAGTGTGCTAAATTTTAACTGGAGTTATATAGTTATACATACATTTCTTAGGATCATGACTTGCTTATACAAGAAGTTTAAAAACTATGGCAACACAGTAATTATTAATGCAGACAGTATTGATACTACTGTGCAAAGTTCTTATTCTATTTCTACTTTAGTCAAAATTTCCTCTATCTCACTCACTGTTTCATGAGTGAGAGTTAAAAAAAATTATGCAGATCCAGGCATGCAAGAACATTACACAGTTAACCCCAAGACATTTGAATACAGGCACATAAAATAGGATAAATTTACAAATCCTTTCAGAATTCCTTTGCCTATTCTGCATTTTCAGTGTGATTATAACACCCAACTTAACTTGATTCTGCATTTATGAATACTCTACCACCCCTATCAACAGTGAGGATTCTCTTTCTTTCTCAGAGGCACCCACCTAGCATTCCATAAGTAATGGAATTCATCACATAAATAAGATAATAGGTCTAATATGCCTTCTATTTTTATCTGATAAACATAATATTTACTAAGATATTTTATATCATGCCTTTACAGCCTGACAACACTTAAATAAGTTTGATCATAGATCTATGTCTCAAACAGGTATCCATAGACAAGCAGTATTTCACAAGATTTTTCCATAGTTTGAAGATATTTTCCTTTGAAACACTTTAGCCCCTTTTACATTTCTGGTTCTGGACAATTATCTCTTCAGAACAGACTATCCTGTACTTTTTCTCTCTTGCATTATTGTTCTGCCTAACATGAATATTCTACACTGTTTTGCTCATCTTCAGGGGGAATATAACAGCAAAGAACTCCACCATTCTTTACTCTTTTTTTCCACAAAATTTGATAGGATCTGCTCTTCCAAAACCAATTATAAACATCTACATGCAAACACTCTGCATCAAGATTCTCCTGGCCACACTCTACCCAGGCCTCTGAAGGACTGTACAAAAGGAAAACCAAGTTAGAATCTGAGCCGTGTAGTCTAGTCAGAACACATTAGTGCTTCAATTCAGTGTATCAAAAGTTATACAAACAAGGGGGAGAAAATTTGACAAATAATATGAAAAACAAAATCCAGTGCTCTATGAGCAAGAATAGCCATTTCAGTCCGAACAGGGAGGATATACTGTCAGAACTGGAGTTGTAAAATCACCTTTTAAAACTGTCTTGTTATAAACAGGCTGCCATTGTTCTTCCAAGTTTTCTTTTACAGTGGCACAATATAAATCTTGATTAAATACTCATGAACTTAGGAGACTGCAAATATAATTGAGTAGGCAATTAATATTACGTAGTTTTATAGATCAGCACATAGATATGATAACAAACAATAGTAAACATAATTAAACATTTCAATTAATGTACTCAGATGTTGATATCTACTGCTGAAAGCAAGACACTTAAATATAATTAAACTACTGGTTTAAATTAACATCAAAACCATGCCTAGTGTAACCATCAAATTTCTTCTGAGTATACAAGGACTGGTCTGCAAACACTCCAACACATTTATAAAGTACAGAGAAGCAAACAGGAAGAAACAGATCTTGATAGAACTTCTCTCAGCTGAAGTGAATTTTCATAGAAAGGAGTCGTGGTAGCAAGAATCCAAGTGTCTTGCTGCATCAGCTGACCATACCAGAAACAGGTGGAAAGAATTGGACACAGACTGTGTGTCAGATTGTGAAAAACTTTTGCTGTTCAGGTTTTAAAGTCTGATCACATCCTATATTAAGCATACATTAACCTTTTGCCAAGCTGCGAAGGACAGAAAGCTCTGAAAACTTGGGGCAAAGAGAAAGACCTGACTTATTATGCAGTGCTTTCGGACCCAAGTCCAATAATTTGAGAGAAAATGTGTCTGTTCAGTCATGCCCACCAGGTTGTTGATATGCTTTGTGTTAGAAGGTTTCCATGTCCAGTTTTGGTAGTTCATGACAGAAGTAGAAAGACAAGTTATCTGCTCTCCATAAGTATTAATATTATGGTAATAAAATTAAATTTTTCAAAATGATAGCAAAGTGAAGATAAAAAGAATTCATACATTTTTATTTAAAAAAAAAACCTTTGTTTTCCAGATGTAAAACTCATTCTACCTGCTGTTTCAGTGTTTATTATCAATTTTCAAAGCATCTTACTTGAGTAAACTTAATAAAGCTGAAGTGTAATCCAGACCATACATTTTAATGCATTAAAAAACTCCAGTCATACCTTCCCATTTTTTAGCAATACAGTTATTACAAAGTCACACCAAAGAACAAAATCTGTTAAAATTTTACAGATATGTTAGATCTTGAATTGGACAGGCTGTGAAAAATTATCTTTCTGTAGCTTAAGAGTGAGAGTGAAATAAAGTCTGTGACACTTGAAGTAATATATTAATAGTATATTGGCTGATACAACAGTCTGGAAGTAAGGCATTATCAGAGATTCTGAAATTTCAATGATGTTGAAGCATATTTACCCAGCAAAATTTTGTTTTTAAAATAATCTACCATTAAATAGATTATACTTCAACAGCTCTTCTGTATGCAATTCAATTAAATTGTCATTATCTGTCTGGCTGAGTCAGAACTCTTTTAATGGTATCTAAACACTGACTGACTAGATCTTCTGATAGCCAGGTAGTCATTTCTTTTGCAAGTAATGAAAATCAAGTTCCATTAGGGAAAATTCCCATGACAGAGAAAAAAAAAAACAAAAACAAAACAAACAAACAAAAAAACAAACAAAAACAAACAAAAAAAAACCACTGTGAAAAACAAGATCGATCACGTACAACTAGAGAGAAAAACATGCAATAAGTCTTGAGAGCACTGCAATACACTGACTTCTTGTTTTATTTCTTATGGGGAACTCTCTCATTAACTGAAATATGAGAAACATGGCATTTACATGGGAAACATGCAAATATGTAAAGCGTATGTAAATAGAAGACCTTACAGCCAAAATAAACGCAATGCTTCTTAGATACAAAATGCCTCCTTTAAAAACTAGCAAACAAAAAAGGGTATCCAAAAATTTCCTTAGGTGATACACTACTATCAGTTTCATAACTAACAGATTGTTGTTTTGTTAACTCAAGCTTTACTGCAAAATCCCTGTAAAACACAGTACTACATTTGAAAAATATTATGAGATACAAAATATGTACCAGTTTATTTAGAGTTACCAGCAAACAAACAGAACGAGATAATTTAGAGTAGCCAGGAAGAAGCTGATGATATCTGTAGGTTTTCTTACCCTGTAAGAAATGGGTTGGATAATGAGACAGTGGTGGCTGAACAGATGGGCCCAAGATCTAGTTGGAGGACATTAACTGGTGGTGTACTGCAGAGGTACTTGCTGGCTGCAGTTATGTTCAGTATCTTCATTAACGATCTGGATGATGCAGCACAATGCTCTCTCAGCAAGTCTGCAAAGAACGCTAAACTGGTAGACACACCAGAGGGTCTTGCTGCCATCTTGAGGAATCCTAAGTTGGAAGAATGGACTAGCAGGAACCTTGTGATGCCCAAATACAAAGCCTGGGAAGGAAAACTCCAAGCAGCAGGACATCCTGGGAGCTACCCAACTAGAAAGAAGATCTGCAGAAAAGGACCTAGGCACCAGGTGGAACATGAGCCAGCAATATGCCCTTGAGGTTCAGAGGGTAACAGGACCTGGGTTACATTAGGCAAAGTATCACCAACAGCTGATCCTTCATTGGTGAGGCCTCATCTGGAGTGCACTGTCCACTGTAGTGGAATTTGCTCCAAATCATAATACAACTGGCATTTCCTAGAATATCTTAGATCTAGAATCCATCTAATTTCTCAGAATCATTTATATGTGAATAAAGTATACATGCTGAAGAATATGAACAATGAACAATTAATGTATGATTAGAAGACACAAGCTATAAAATCCTAGTGCATGTATGAGACCTATTTTACAGTTAATTTTTTTTCCCCTATTACTTAGAAATGAAGGAATTACTTGATTGAACTATGCAGTATAGATTGTTGATTTTCGAAACAAATGTTTATGCTTTTTTATACAGAAAAATATACTTTACATATATGAGCAAGAATCACAGCATGTAGAAGTTAAAATTGCTAATGATAAAAAAATGCATGTTCAGTTTCATTTATTGAATAGACAACTAGACAACTACAGATATATCTTTTCATTTTCCTATATTTAAAAAACTAGAAGCAGTCATTCAGTTTTTAAACTATGAATATTTAAGGTATTCTAGTGTAGGCACATCTATCTGTATCACAGAATTTATCAGAGAACTGATTTCATGTAAATACTCGTGGAAAAGTAAACAGAATTGTAATATTCACCATACCATCAGCTATTTATTTTCAAGTTTATGAAATTAGGTATCTTTTACAGTTACTTATGGGAGCCTAAACTAGTCCTGCATTTTCAAATAATACTTCTCCGTAAAAGCAGTGCTTGCAGAACTCTATACAAAACAATTTTTAATGGTTTTCTCCTAGTATTTAATGATACAATGAGCAAACAGGAAAATGACCAAAATATTCTAAAAGCATGAAAATTTGTTAAAGAATCACAAAAACAAATCTAAAATGAAGGGGAAAAAGGTTTTAAAAATAAATATTTTGTGATGTGTACAAGGGGATTTAGCTACTCCCTAGAAGAGCAATGGAAAAGTTCTAAGGAACAAAAAAGTTCTAAGTGAATCAGATGCACAAAAATATAGGAATTATTGTTTTGTTAGCCAAAAGGAAATTCATTTAATGAATCTTTATGGCTCTGTAGTCTTACTGACACTCCAATAAATATTTCTGTGTCTGTAAAACAGGATCTTCAAATAAAAACATAGTTTACTAGACACCCTGAAAAACAGCTCTATAATAATTACAGCTAGCAAAAACCATATTTGGCCTTGGTATTTTACGTACTGACTTTTAAAGAAAACA